AATTTCTAGGTGAGTTTCTCGGAAACTACTGAAGATAGAGAGTCGGTTAAATGGGGAAAGAATTGCAGTTTTGTGGGGTCATAAATACGCCCCTTTTAGATTTTTGAAAATGTTCATGGCTTCCTAGATATTTAAAAAAAACAAATTTGGGCTATTTTAAAAATTGTCCCTAATTCCATTATAATCCATTTCACACAAAAATGTTTTAGATAAAAGTTTTAGATAATCATATATTCTTAATCGGATGACAAAAACTTATGTTTATTTTAAATGGAAATCATAGTTGGCCATGACTTCATAAAAAGCGCCATTTATTAAGCTTTTCAGCGATATAAGCTATGATATAGTTTTTTTCCAAAAATTACTGAGTTATAGCCAATTCTTATCAATTTTAAGCAATTTCACTTAGATTAGATTAGATTCTTAGAGGTGGCTTTCGGCCTGATCCACTGCGACCTTCTCAAATCTATTGTGGTCCTCTTCTGATCCTTAGATTACATTCTCCAGTCCTATCCTTTTCACAAAGTTTAGCAACTTGGAGACTGAACCCTCCATGTAGCTCCTTGGCAATGGCCCATCATTGCCTATTACCGGGAACTGCACATTTGCCAGGCTGTCACACCGACATAAAATGTGTTCTGACGTTTCTTCTTCAGATTGGCAGAACCTACACATAGCTTCGTCTGTCAATCCCATCAGCTTTAGATGCCTATTTAGCTTACAATGCCCTGTTAGTAAACCTACTACAGCTTTGACTGTCTTTCTGTCCTTGCTTATCAAGTCTACCGTGAATTTTGGCGAATGTTCTACAATGAACCTTTTCGCCTGTCTCTGCCCTGGTGAGTTTCTCCACCATTCTAGAGATTTGTTGGCCACCCATCGTTCCGTGGCCATTCTCGTGACCGCCTTTGCAGTGCCGTAGAAGGGTTCTGGGCATATGAATGGCATGGATGAGCCTTGCTTGGCCCTTTTTAGGCTTAGCCTTTTCGTTACACTTGTGACCCTCGTGTCCTGGCACCCAGGCCAACGTAACTGTGCTACGTTCGCCCAAAGTATTCAGAGCACGCACACAGTCCCACACTAGTCTAGAATTGACCTCCGCGGAGCGGAGTGCCTTTAGCGCCGCTTGGCTGTCTGTGAAGATGGCCACAGAACGATTTGTTCGAGCAATTTCACTTAGTTAGCCATGGAAACAAGTTCAATTGTCTTTGCTCTCTAATTAATTATACCTTTCTCCAAATAAAAAATATTCCATCAAAAACATAGAATGTAAAAAAATGCCAGCAAAAAGTCTCGCCAAATGCCAAAAATGAGATCTCATGTAAAACCAAGTCAGTTTATTTTATTTGGTTTCTCTTTAAGCACCTATTCAACAATTTTGTTATAAATTGTTAGTATCAATATTAGTCATCTTTATTTCTGTAATAATTATAATGACTTGGCAATTGCACAGCACCATAGTTATAAAAGAATAATCTACCATCTCAATTATTAAGTAAATCTAAACAGTGCCCCCAAAAATAAAGTTTTTTAATTAGAATAGAATATCATATCGTGCAATTGCCAAGTCATTATAAGAACCATAGAATTTTGATGACGGCGAGTGAGTCACTGGCGAAGTTAAAGAAGTTTAACAAGAAAAAAATGCATAATCCTTGAATTATTGTTGGTACATTGATATCCAAATAAAATCAGTAGAGACCACTTCGATTAATTCTTGTTTTCCTTTTTCTCGACTGGAAAGTCAGTTACCGGTAGCGGCTAGACAGCTAAAATTTAATCCGTAAGGACATTTCGAGATTTCTCATTTTTTCTTTCTATAATAAGCTTAAAGCTACCTAAAATTCGAAATTTGAAGTTTATGACACATTTAGAAGTAGGTACCTTAGAATTTTGATGATCTCAGTGAGTCAATGTCGAAATTAAAGAAAATCGATAAGCGATAATTCATAAACTATGAGGTATAATTACTAGATATTTTGGTAACCTAGCCAGCTATAGTATGTCTTCGTGTGGAGTAAAAATTAATATTCTTGCTTTATCCACAACGAAGTTACAGGGTGGTCAAAAATGCCGCTAATACACTTGGCGTGTGGCTGTGCTTAAAGAGCTTGAAAAAAAAATCCGTAAATAAAAAAAAACAATTATTATATAAACTTTTTAAATTGGTATTTTTTCAGAAGATCGTAAAACCTGTTTAGAATGAAGGACCCATTTCTCTGGGAAAACTAAATATTTTTCTGTTAGGTTTAAAATCCCACGTCCATAAATTAATATAATACTTGCTTTGAAACAGCTAGAAACGACTAGCATCAATCATTAAAGCTGTAAAACCCTAAATTTTAACTTCGAGATTATATAAGCAAAACCCCTAGAAAGCAATAAAACTCTAAGACGACACTCTTAAATATAAAGTAAAGTTCACGTAATGATATTCTGAAAATTAAGGACTGTCCTCCTTTTTTTTATCCAAAATATCCAAAATTATGTGAAATAAATAAACATATAAGATGAAACAGCGAAACCTAATGAAATCAAATTATAAATATGATTTGTTTTGGTTTTTTTAAGGACAGACCTTAAAATATACTTTAGTTAGGGTTAGTTTTAATCATGTGTAATTGTGTTTACGGTAATTATAATATTTACACGGATATTAGTAATAATTTGGAAAATAACGTAGAAATGGTCATAGTAACGACATCTGTGACAAGTAAAGCCAACTAGACCGGGAACGACAGGGTAGTTGAGGTTTTCTCAGACCAATCAGACGGTTCCTGAAAAGCGAACCCGAAGAGGATTTGAGAATGGCTCGGCTTTTGGTGGTTCCCTATTCTTTTTACCCGCCCATTTTAAATATTTCGAGGTTTAGGAAAATAGATTCTTGGATCAGTTCGGTACTGACTTTTAAATTAGACGGTCGAATTTACTCCGTGTAGATCTTATATTATCCAGTGGTCTTTTTTAATTGTTTTAGTAAGTTCTCTATCTAAAGATTTTCTCAAATAAATTCTCAAGTTAGGAAATTCTAAACTATTCATGCTTACAGTATTTTAATTGTTGTTTTTGGATTTTCTCTAATATTTTTCTTTATTAATGATTTAAGACTTTCTGTTTGTTCTAAAGGCTTTAGTAAATTTTAGATGTCATTGCATAAGTGATTATTTTGCAATTGTTCTTTTTATTAAATTCTAATTTAAATTTAATTGTTCAGTGAATATTTTTTTAATATATTAATTTTCTGCCAACGATAATTCTAAGAGAGATTTGAAAGTGTATGCTAATTGTAGATAATTTAAATTGGACTAATAAGAAGAATATTTTGATTTTTTTTTAACTTTATTATCTCTGAGTTTTAATTTCAATTCTCTAATTGTCATTAATTATTTTTGATTCAATTTCTTTCTTTTTCATTAATTATAAATGTTTTGTTGTTAAATCTTTTTCTGTATTTTTTATTTATCTATTTCTTTATATTAAATATAGTTAGGTGTTGTGAAAAATCGGCATTTTATTTCTTTATATTACCTAATCACTAAAATATTAAGTTATTTAAAAGAACACTGGTGATAACCGGTCGAGTGGTTCAATCCAAAGTATGAGTCCAAGACCGAAGAGGTAGATCTACAAGGGGAACAACGAAGTCTTCGACAGGTTCTTGTTGTTGATGTATTGCTGATGGATGTTGACGTAATAAGGTAAGTGGCAATAGAGTTTATAGTAACTGAATTTAGAAAGAGCCCTTACCTTAAAAGTGCGATACCTTTTAATTTCTATTTTTAGCTGGTTATATTTTGTTTTTATATATAAACGATAAACTATAGTTACGCTCTGAAAAGACGGTGCTCTCATTAATCCAAGTTCTGCCTACCGCTGAATAAATTATTTTAATTATAAAAATTATATAAAGGCCACACTACCATGATAACGGACAAAATCTTGAAAGTTTTGTCACAGTTTTGTCACGTTATTATACCTTTTTCTAAATAAAAAATATTCCATCAAAAACATAGAATGTAAAAAAATGTCAGCAAAAAATCTCGCCAGATGCCAAAAAGTCTCGCAACACAATTCTTCTACTATAAAAAGTTGTAAGACCTTATGTAAAACCTGCAAGTCAGTTTATTTTATTTGGTCTCTCTTTAAGCACCTATTCAATAATTTTGTTATAAATTGTTAGTATCAATATTAGTCATCTTTATTTCTGCAATAATTATAATGACTTGGCAATTGCACAGCACCATAATAATAAAAGAATAATCTACCATCTCAATTACTAAGTAAATTTATACAGTGCCCTTAAAAATAAAGTTTTTTAATTAGAATAGAATATCATATCATGCAATGAATAATGCCAAGTCATTATAAGTACCTTAGAATTTTGATGACAGCGAGTTAGTCACTGGCGAAGTTAAAGAAGTTTAACAATAAAAAATGCATAATCCTTGAATTATTGTTGGTACTGTGATATATGAATAAAATCAGTAGAGACAGCTTCGATTAATTCTTGTTTTCTACCTATTTCTCGACTGGAAAGTCAGTTACCGGTATCGGCTAGACAGCTAAAATTTAATCCATAAGGATATTTCGAGATTTTTCATTTTTTCCTTCCGCTTAAAGTTACCTAAAATTCAAAATTTGAAGTTTGTGACACATCTAGAAGTACCTTAGAATTTTGACGATCTCAGTGAGTCAATGTCGAAATTAAAGAAAATTGATAAGCGATAATTCATAAACTATGAGGTATAATTACTAGATATTTTGGTAACCTAGCCAGCTATAGTATGTCTTTGTGTGGAGTAAAAATTAATATTCTTGCTGTATCCACAACGAAATTAAAGGATGGTCAAAAGTGCCGCTAATACCTTCGAGAAAAGGATGGTACGGCTGCCTGACTTGGCGTGTGGCTGTACTTAAAGAGCGTGCAAAAAAAATCCGTAAAAAAACAATTATTATGTAAACTTCTTCCTAAAATTCAGACAACCGATATACTAATTTACCTGTAACATTGGCAGGAAAGTGCACAGCAACTCCCCTAACATCCAGTTCTGGACCAACAACACATACAAAGTTATAGGCAGTACAACCACACATTTAACTATGTCACTGACAGCGTTATTTATAATGAAACTATAGGTCGGATCCTTATAAAGCCTGTACTGAATAATATGGAAAAATAAAAGTACATTAGACAAAATTCCGTAAGTTAACAAAGTTCCGTAAGCGAACACGATATACGACGCTATTCCTTCCAGTGACTTTTTCGGCTGAGGCTCTCGCAAATCCAACTTTTTTTCGCTGCTGTAACCCGTTAATACCTGATGAATAATATTTAAAATATGAGGATCTAAATCTTGCGGCGTACTAGTTGTATTAATTTTAGCCATTTCTGAGTAAATTTTCAGGCGTTAAAATACGAATTTTAATAATTTTTCGTCGATGTTTCGATGTTTTAAGCGGCAAATTGTTAAAGAGGACCCTATAGAAGGATAGCTTGCGCGTTAGTGAACTTGAAATATCCAGAAGAGTGCGATATATAGAGGCCCTCGCAAAGTTTCGCGCGCATGCGGGATTGTTTTGTGCCAGTTATTGTTTAAAAAGAGCCAGAGAAAATACCGAGTATTCAGATGAATACATGGTTAAATATCAGGGGGTGACTTCTCACCAAAATGTAGGTCTGAAAATGTTTAATTTTAAAGATACAGGATGTTCAACTTTACAAAAATAATTTTTTTCGTAATTATTTAAAACCATTATTTATTTTGCATTATTTCCTATAGGAAGAATTAAATATATACCAATGATATACATTATTGTTATTCGTCGTTTAACTTTTTAAGTTTTTTAATGTGGTCCAGAATAGAGGTGGGCAAATATCGAACGAGTCTTAAACCGCTCAAAACTCTTATACTCGCTTTCTTTTTATTAATTTTATTAGCACAAATAAACCAAGCGCCCTTTTTCGACATCTGCATATTATGTTTTTTGAAACGGGATTTTTATCCTAAAATTAAAAATATTAAAGTGGTGTGACCTTATCATTAACAAAAATGGCAATTTTCTTTAAAAAATGTTCTCGCACAACCCATCGACTGTTGGTTCCCAAAAATGCAAGATGCAAAAAACTCCACTCCAGCAAGATGCAAAAAAATCGCAACGGTGAAATTTTTGGTCAAATTTAAAGTGTTACATATATTTTTGTTACTATTTTTAGCCCTATTTTCATAATTTCTTGTTGTAAATAATTATGTCAACTTTAATTCATAAACTCAGTTTTTTATAAACTTTAGTATTTGGCATATTAGATATACAGGGTTAATCAAAGGGTTGTTTTTTTACCCTAATTTTAAAACACCCTGTACAATAATTTCCTGTGTTAATTTTCCTAAAATATAATTTTGCAGTCAGAACCATGTCTCCTGAGCATTTTGTTTTTTGATTCATGTCAATTCTTGCTTGGATTAATTTTTAAGAGCGAAATGAACTGATCACGATCAATATGCAATGTTTTCAAAAAATGTATTTTTTTAATATGACAAGATGGTTTTGGTGACTATTGTCGTAACGTCATATTACGCTGTATTACATACTCTATACTAAATATAAAAACGTTAAAGACTAATGATACAGTCCTGGTTTTAATAAACATTAATAAAAAACTGTTATTGTTTTGTTACAACCAACGATTTAGAATTTAGAATTTAGAATGAGTGGGAGGGGGGTTAATCACTGCGACCTTACAGATCTATTGTGTCCCCCTTTCTTGAGTTATAACTCATCATACAGTCCCAGGGCTTTGAAAAAAAGCCAGTATCTGGGACAGTTTTATAGAGGGTAGTTCTCCATCTCCAACATCAGTCGTAACATAGTTCATGGCACGAATGGTTGTTGTCTCGGCGCACTCAGTGATGAGGTGTACTGGTGTTTCCCCCTTTTTCCCCACAGAATCTGCATTCGCCGTTTCTTCTTAGATTCAATCTACTGAGGTGTTCATTGAGGAGACAGTGTCCTGTTAAAAACCCCGTGACAATCCGAAGATTGTTCTTACTTAAACCTAGGAAGATCTGTGATTTTTCTTGATCTTAAGCCCTCAGAAATTTCTTCGAGTGTCTTAGACCGTTGCAAGATTCCCATTCCAGGTTGCGGACGGAATCTTCCAAGTTCTTGAGTTCCGCCTTGAGTTGGTTACCATTTGGAAAGCAGGACGGTTCTGGTCCAGTTAGTGGAGTGTTCGCTCCTTTTCTAGCTAGATCATTTGCTTTTTCATTGCCTTCTATCCCTTGGTGAGCAGGCACCCAGAGTAGGAGGACTTTGTTTTCTTTGCCTAATTTATTCAGCTTCTCTATGCATTCTTTGACCAATTTCGAATTGATTGATACTGAGTTGATCGCTTTTAACGCTGCTTGACTATCAGATAAGATGGTTATTTCTTGTTTCCGATAGTTCCTATCTAAGATAAGTTGTACGCATCTTTCGATAGCGTAGATTTCTGCCTGTAGGATGCTAGAGTAAGTGCCCATTGGTTCGGAGTATTTAGTTCTCGACCCAAATACTCCAATCCCTGTTCCCGAATTGGTTTTGGAAGCATCAGTATACCAAGTTATGGTATGGTCTTTTAACTGCTGGGCAGACGTTTCTCTCTTCCAATCCTTTTTATTGCTCAATACTGCATTGAGATGTTTCTCAAAGTTGTACGTTCTTGGCATATCGTCCACTGGGAGTTGCAGGAGTGGTATTTCCTTTTTGAGGGTGTTCCAAGTTCCTGATCTGATAATTCTCCCAGTACTAATTCCGTTAGTGACCATTCTAATCATTGTCGCATTGGCATATCTACCAATGACAATAATATGCAGTGGTGTTAGATCTAGAATGACCTCCATTGCTGCTGTTGGACAGGTTCTCATGGCTCCTGTGATGCAAACATGCACGCTAGTCTCTGGACTTTGCACAGGTTTAGCCTTGGCATCCGTTGCTCTAGTTTTGTGTACCAGGCAACTGCTCCATAAATAATCATGGGTCTTACTATCATGGTATACATCCAGCGCAAAATGTTAGGGGAGCTGCCCCATCTATTTCCGGCCAGTCTTCTGCATACCATGAGAGCCTTTGTGGCTTTGCTGGTAGTGTTCTTAATATGCCTGTTCCACAGGAGTTTACTGTCCAGGGTTATTCCCAGATATTTAATGTGATGGCAGTATTTCCTTTCCATCTAGTTGGATTCTTTTCATGTTTTTCAGACTTCGCTTTCTGGTGAATCGCACTATCGCGGTTTTGTCAACAACCAACGATATTAAAGAAAACATATTTAATACTCAAGTATATACAAACAGAAAAAAAAATGTAAAAAATACCCTATTACTATGTATTGCCTCCTTTGGATGCTATAACTTCCTGTATATGTCCGTTCATACTGTCATTGAGGCTGCATATGCATATCATATTGCGTTATATTTTCCCATTCTTCTTTAAAGATCAAGCGAAGTTCATTTAATGAAGGTGGTACCGCTTCGCGACTTCTAACCCTCGTACCAAGCGTTTTCCAAACGTCGAACATGATGGGCGGTTTATATAGTAGTATATAGTTCACAATAATCACCAAAACCGCCTTGTCATATTAAATAATAACTTCAAAAAGAAATGATAATTGAAAAAATTGCAAATTGTTGGTGGCAAGTTCATTTTGCTCTTAAAAATTAACCAAGACATGAACTGACATGATCCAAGAAACAAAATGCTCAGGAGACATGGTTCTGACCGCAAAATTATAATTTAAGAAAATTTACAAACGAAATTATTGCACAGGGTGTTTTAAAGTTAGTAGTAAAAAACAACCCCTCGATTAATCCCATAATATAATATGCCAAATATTAAAGTTTATAAAAAACTGAGTTTAAGAATTAAAGTTGACATAATTACATACAACTTGCTAAAAAATATATAAAATAGGGCTAAAAATAACAAAAATATAACACTTCAAATTTGACCAAAAATTTCTCGGTTGCGTTTTTTTTGCATCTGAGTGTATAAAAACCAAAGATATTTAAACTCAAGAGATTGTTTACCTTTTTCCTTCATCGGCCATTATTCAATCCTTATTTTCGCATCTCTCTTACACCGAAAACATTTGCCAGTTTTACCTGTATATTGGTATTAGTATTCGATTAAATACCATATATATACTATACTACTACTGCCATTACTCGCTGACGAGTATTTGACACGCATCAGAAGATGGTCACGCAAGGCGTTTTCTTTCATGAGCCTTTCTGTGACTGAAAAGCCCAATACGTGATGTTATTTGTCTACCGCACTCCGGACATTCAAAAATCTCATTGTTTTGTTGCCTCTTAACTTTTTGGTTCTCGCTGTTAACTGAGTTTACAATTCTTCTCCATTGAGTTCTATTGTGAGCTGCTACTTCCCACTCATTCTGCACATTAATCCCCTTTAAGTTTTCGTGGAAAATGTCCTTGTACCTTTTGAGTTGTCCACCTGGCCTCCTCTTACCGTCTACAAGCTCACCGTAAAGCAGTGATTTTGGTATGCGGTTTTCTTGCATTCTGCATACGTGACCAGCCCATCTTAGTCGGGATTTTGTAACCATGACTTCAATACTCTCGCAGTTAGCTTTTTTTTAGCGATACGTTTGAGACGTGATGGAACCATTTGATTCTTAAGAGTTGTCTAAGGTGTCTCTGTTGCAACTTGTTTAATGCGTTCATGTGTCGGCCGTACGGCACCCAGGTTTCGCTCCCATATAACACAAATTTGACCAAAATTTCTCGGTTGCGTTTTTTTTGCATCTGAGTGTATAAAAACCAAAGGGGATTATTATTGCTCGGTACACTGCAAGTTTCGTTTTTGTGCTTCATCATGGCCATTATTCAATCTTTTAATTTTCAGAATGCTCTTTGACACCTGCTAAAACATTTGCCAGATTTACCTTTTATATTGGTATTAATATTGCCGATTAAATACCACAACCAATTATTAAGTAATAAATAATTTCGTTATACCTATTTCTATAATATATCAAGTACATTAATTTGCTAACGTCAATTTTTTCATTTAATGCTTAAATGCTTAACTATTTTAAATTTTATAATGGAATAAAAATATCATGATCGTGTTTCTTTTAATAATAAAAAGCAGTTTGGCAATGTCAGTTTTAGAAATATGCCGGCGTAGTACAACGGATTTCGAGGACGAATGAAAATTCCTAGATTCTCCTGTTGCGATGCTGCTATGCCGCCGATCAAGCTCCGTATTTTTTATTTGCAGTATTATAGTATTTTTGCGTTATTTTGTGGACTTCTGTGGACATTAATTTGAAAATATGGTGCATTCATGTATTGTGTACAAGAGAGTGTATCATTTAAATCCAAATTTAATTTTTCACCGGTAAATAAAAATATGTAGGGTTAGGTATATTATTATATCCCCTTCTCTGTAGATCAGAGGCGGACCTAGACATAAAAAATT